AAAAAAAAAATCAACACAATTCCTATTCACCTTTTTCTGTTTATTTCGATTTATATATTTACTTGTAGTATGCTCTTCTGCAGATCGTACACAGCGAGTAAAAATTCTTTGTTAAACACAGGACCGAATTCCAAATTACCATTGGTTGTGTTGTGGGATACCTGAATATAATTTCACCTTCTATATATTTATATGTTTACTGTGTTCACTCATAAAGTTGGTAAAAATGATTAGACATATGAAAATAACAGAAAAATAGAGGTGTCGAGCAACTTTACCTTATCCAGGCCTATAGGCTTGATATAAATCTGCTCGGTTCTGTAGAACGGTTGGAAATGAGAATCGAAGTAATCTTTTTCAAGTCTAGCTCTACTAGTAGGTGCTGCCCAAATTTCAGTCGGATTACTTGTGATGGAAAGGTACATTATTCCGTAACTTAATCCCGATATTGCATATAAAAAGGTGAATAACACGATGATTGGGTGCTTTGCGAATGCTGTTGAACATATGTTTACTGTTACATATTATATACACATACACAAACACACACATATATATACATATAATATATAATAATATACATATCGAAATACAATACATCGATAGGATAATTATTTATCGCGTAGAAGAGATGAATTTCATAAGGTGTACTTAAGTATACAGGATGTCTCAGAAGTCATAGTATAAATTGAGTTGTTTCTCTCGAAAATGAAGCTCTGAATGCAATTCTGTCATTCTTGATATTCGATCCAATTTGTACTATGACTTCTGGGACACACCAGGATATATCAAAATTGTATATCACGAGCACTATAGCGTAACATTAATCGGTTGATTTTCTCATATAGCAAGCAATTTTCGAACATTTTAAAATCATTAAATTATTGAGTATTGTATCATATTTAGATTTTTTTAATTGTTAAAGAACTATTGACTGTTTCATCACGCTATTTATTTTATATCCAATTATGAAATGTAAATATGTAATAAAGACCACATAAGAAGTAGTTGAAATTCTATGAACATTTCCCGACAGAATTGATTATCTACGACCTATGATTTCTTTAACAAATTTGATTTTCGTAATGAATAGAATACATGAAAAATATTTGATCTTGAATTTCAACATATCCCAACTGGTTCAAAGATGTAGAATCACGTTATAGTGATCGTGACAAAATCTTGGTACCCTCTATATAATATATCTGTACACTACATTTGTATATCAATCAAATTATTATTATATATACTATATGAATCGTGATGTGTCATTAATAATAGTACAAAATTAAATTTACTATGTGATTAATATCTCATAATTAACATAGAATAATTTGATTAATATACTGGCATGTTGTATTTATATATTTATATAATAAATAGAAATAATTAGAAATATGAAATAATTAGAAAAACGAACCTTTGCCCCAGGCAGTGAAAGCCATGTGAAATATCTTGTGAAATTTTGTATAATAAATCCTTTTTTCCTTGTCTTTATCGTCAACTATTCTACCTATAATAATTTAATATTCTTATACTACGAATAGATATGGGATATTTTGCTTAACTTAAATATCGTAATTATTTTTGCTATTATTAATAGTAGTTAGATAAGAAGTAGTTAAGATACGAAAAAATAATTAAGATGGATTTTAACTGTTAAGGCATGCATCTGTGATATTTTCAAAGTTATTGAAATTTTTTTATATTAATATCTGTTTCTTATAGCGTTGACATTAAATCTGTTTTCACCATGTAAATATCTTCAAGTGATTTTGAAAGTTTAAATTAGAAGAATATAAATCACTTTATTTTGTCAGATATATACAATTTAATAGTAATAGAAATAATTTAGTTATTTGATTTAAGCAGAATCCTATGTACGTAAATATCAATATCTATGTATAATATATACAAAATGATTTTGTAATGATTTTATATATTTATACCTTACAACTTTCAAGTTATTACAATATTGTAGAAATTAGAATCTAAAAATTGAAAAAAATTTTATAAATTTTATTTGTAAAATGTCCAATCAGAATCTAGTTTGTGTTCTAGTCTATGTTCAAACATAGAATTGTCCAGCAAGGTTTAAAAAATAAACAAAAAAATTTTAATTCTCAAGATCATGGAGAATTTAAGCGATGAAAAAATTTTTCAACTTTTTTAAAGATGTTTTAATCTTTACAATTTTCGAGGAACCCGTGCTTTTACTTTGTAACTCATCCGTGACACATGATTGAAAAACATCTTCGAAAAAAACGAAACTTAGAAAAGTCGAAGTAGAAGGTTTGCTCTTTAAAATGAGATCAACTAGATCGTTGTATGATTTTCTTTTACGAAAATATAATAATTTAATAATAATTTTCATCATCGTGTGTTCAGTGTTCTTCGCTGTGTGTATATTAAATAAATACATACGTATATAAATATATGCACTTATATAAGTTAATATTAACAATTATAAATACCTGAGCGGAATCTCCTTTTTAGAAATTGATATGTAACACATATGCATGTAATTACCAAGGTAATTAAAACTACTACAATTGCTATTACGACGGCGTAGCCATTGTGTCCGAAAAGAATGAAATCGTCATTGTCATTATTTAATTCGACAAGGGGACATGATGATGGGCAATCAACGCAACTACACGCTGTCAAACCCTATTGAAAGAAACAAGTGATGCAAACAATTTTCCTGTAGTTATAATACTTAGTTTATAATTACAAAGAATCTCACCATGTTATTTACCTTGATTTATATTATTATTATTATTCGTAGTGAGGAATGTTTAAATGGTTCCAAGGAGTCTACGTACTGATGTTGTTAGTCCCTTTGTTTATTGGACGGGTCAAGAATTCATGAAGATGCAACTTTTTATTTTTTATAGAAAATTAACTCATGTATGTCGAAAAATGAGTAGGAGATATTTTACGAGTAGTTTTAGGGGATACTTCAATTTTTATGCATGAAAGGGTAAGGACAATATGAACATAACAATATTCTTTCTTCGATAAATCTTACAAAGAGGGAATCAAAGTTAAAATATTTCTTAAATTAATGGTTTCG